TACATTTATTCCAAACCGACGTCAGGATTTGGGTTGGGAGAGCGTCTGTGTTGAATGTAGAATCCACGTCTGATGTAAGCGTGTAAAAACTGCAGATACTAAGATTAACAGACACAGTATGTTGTCTACATCTGCCATTGTAGAAATTGATCTCATGTAAACACTAACGTGGCCACAGCGTGACTTCAACAGCGGCGCACACTTTTGACATTGCCTGAGTAAATGTCCGTTTTCCTCGTCCACACCTAAACACAAAAACGTGCTTTTTAAAAATCTCACCTTTCAGTGACTCAATCTGCTGTTTAGGTGTGGACGAAAGGCCCAAATGCAGAGACAAAGCTGCGCTTTCAAAAATAGCCGTGTACATGTGCACGTAGGCTCAGTTTCTCAGAAATTCTAATAGTTTGTTTGAGAACAAAACTTACGTCTTCTCTATTTTCCTAAATGAACAAAATAATCTGAGAAATAATCGTGTTAAAAAGAGCTTCTGTCACTCTAAGATATGATTAAGAACATTTTCTAATTTATGTATCATTTGTCAAATATTACATCAGCTGACAAATAGTTAAGTCTTCATTTGTTTTCCTGAATAATAGATCCACATCATCCTCTCTATGATGGAAAATATAGTCTAGTCTTGCACAATGTAAAGTACATAAATACTGTCCTGGCAAGCAGGAAAATCAGGCTTTATATATTTAAGTAAATGATCTTGAGTTTATAAACTGAAATTTGAGCTTACTTTAGTTCTTGGTAGATTACACAGCAGTTAATCCTCAGGGAAACGTCCAAATGTCACTAAATAGTGGTCTGCTTTCATTCGGTTGCAGTGTCTCTTCAGTTTTGTGTTCATATGCTGATGTTTTCATTCAAACATGCTTAAATGCTGTGATGTCACTTTAGCAGCAAAGACTGCGGAATGTGCAGAGATTCTTTTGACATCAAGTTGTTTGCTCAGATTTTGATATCTTTTAAATGGAGACAAAACAAAACGCTATGGCAACAAAACAACAAGCTGTTTCCAGTGCTTAATATTTAACATGTCTTTGTTATAACTTTTATTTGTACAAATCTGTGATGTTGATGTGCACAACGTGGGATTTAGACCTCGGAGGGTTAATCAACAAATCACGAAAAATTAGGTTTAAATTTCTGTTCATGACGGTGCAGATTTCTGACATTTTGTGTACTTGAAGCATTTAACAATTTGATTGTTTTCTAATAAAAACTGTGTGAAACTCAAGTTAGACCTGTGTTTGTAAATGAACCGCCCCATGTTGTGTAGCTTTCTGGATTTTATACTTATTGGGCTACATATTAATTTACTATACAGGCTATACAGTAGATAAAATCTAACCTCACATGTTTTATGTAACTAAAGTGTTTAATCATGTGGGCTACAGACAGTAATCAAGTTATGGACTATATTGATATGAAAAACATGCATACTTAGTGCATTTGAATCATTTTAACCATATGTAACCACCTGCATGTCATGGTCCTGGGACTTCTACCTGGTTTTTTGTGTGTCTTGTATTGTTGTTGTTTGATGTCAGCTTTAGGGTCCCTCGGTTGTTCTGTTAAGATGTTGCTTATTTGATTTCCCCTCGTGACTTTACCCCCTGTGTGCCCCCTCTGTGTATCTGCCAGCCCCCATGCCTCGTTTCTCCTCCTTGTGTTTTATTCCATGTTTTCCCAGCCCGCTATGTCTGTGTTCTCTTCCAATCTGGTCTGCGTCTCTGTGTGCTTCCTGTTTTACTTTGATAGTCTCCCGTCAGTGTTGTGTTACTCCTGCCGTGTCTCGTTATGATTATCAGTGTCACCTGTGTTCCCCGTGTGCTCCCACTTCCCTCGTTAACCATCTGTGTATTTGTGTCCACGTCTCCTACATTACCTACATAATAGAGCTATAATAAATGTTTTGACTTTTTGGGAATGCTTTACGGTCTGTTCTGTAGGAACGCTGAATTAATATATTGACTGTGTGTGTGTGTGTGTGTGTGTGTGTGTGTGTCGTGTGTGTGTGTGTGTGTGTGTGTGTGTGTGTGTATTGTAAAGACTTGATTCCCACAGTCCAAGTCAGGGTTTTAAAATGCGTTGCTGTCTCCATCCAGCATCAAAGCTGCATTGAAATTTCCTTCAATGAAATTTTGGCTCAAAGAAAAACAGTGTTGTTACTGTCAATCTCCAATTAAAATAAAAGTGTAATTAAACCAAACGAAAGTAATGTACTAATGCTGGTCAAGACATTACCTGTAGCTGAGTGACATTTCCTCCAATTTCTGTTGGTGTCTGCAGTTTCCACTGGGGCTTAGTGTCACCTCTACTGCTACCCGACTGCACCACCATCCTCCACATTGCTATGCGTCCATTGGTGGTGCCAGCTGCTAGGATTTCTGAGTGTTGCAGAATTTTTAAAAAAGCAACGAGTTTTTTTTTTAACCTATGCATTTGGAAACATTCAGGAATATGGTGATGGGAAAGAAAAAGCTTCTTTTCATTTACAATTCTGTGCAAACTTTTACCTTTGCCTGCACAGTATGAAACACAGTTGATCATCTCTCCCCTCTCATATCCCAGAGTCTCATCAAGAGACAAAACATAGTTGTCATCTCTTTCCAGATCCCACAGCCTAAAATATTCAACAGGGACATTATTACTCAAGTTTGAAATTTACATGTTTTTTTTCTCAGTGTGTGTATACTGACCTGATGACCTGCTCCCCGGATGCAGTGATGAGGAGGCCATCTTCTGTCCACACAACGTCTACATTCTGCCCGGATTTGCTGCTCAACTTACCCTGTCACAAAAAAAGTCACGCATTACTCCACACTGATCTTTAGTCCTGGCACAGAATATAAAAAGGGCACACATATTCAAGTATAGTAATAATTAAAGTAACTGAGATTGATCATTCATGTTGATATTACTGGTTAATATATATTTTAAAAAAAATCTTTCTGTATACCTTCATAATCTCCTGTGCTCCACCCTCAGGTCCGAGAGCATACTGTGACAGCATGAGGTTCTCTGTGATCACTGCGAGGGCCTCTGTCTTCTCAATGTAGAGAAGTTTCTTGATGGAGCCCTCCACACTGAGAAGGACACTCGTCTTACAATACTCATCCACACTATGGACTTTACCTATATGCATAAGACACGGGATTAAAGATGAAATAAGTGGATTATCTGACAGCTCAAACCACAAAGTGTTCATATTTATTAAAGATCAGACTGGATTCTGGATCAATAGCATTATAGCTTGTTGTATTTTCCCCTTTCTGGAGACTCCCACAGGATTACTGCTTCACAGAGGCAAAATACACTTTTGATATAATTTTCAAGAAGTCTGCTGGATTAATCAGACTTTCTAAAACCATGAATACTTTTCTCATACTGTTCTTCGTAACTGTTCAAAAATAAAGCAAAGTATCATCAATGCAATTTACAGAACAAACAAATAAAATAAACAGCCTTTATACATTGAGGGCTGTGACTGCAGAAGACTGCTGGCCTCAGACAAAATTATACAAGGCAAGGCAATGAAAAAACAAATTGTGTCTTAAAGAAAGTATGGTCAAATGCATTGAAAATAACAAATGATTTAATTTTCCAAACTCCAACAGGAATCACAAACTCCTACCATCTCGTTATCCATATTTATATAAAATCTAGCATACTCCACACCACACAAAGTCAGAAGCCAGTTAAAATCTGTACGTGGTACCTGAGGCGGTGCTGCACTGACCAGTTGTTTCTGGCTATTTGCTGGTTCAGCCTGCCTATCACTGCAACTCTTGGCTCTTATTGGTCAGGCTGACGGCATGCTCACTCAACACAATATGAAACAGAGGACAACAATAGAAACATTAGTGCTGTTAGTCTGCTCCACTATAGCTACAGCGGTATGAAAACTGCCTTTTCATTGTCACTCACTCACTAGTTTTCACCTTCCCAGTTTATCACCCTCTATTTTCAGCATACCCCCTATGTAGCACTATATGGTGTGTGTGTGTGTACAGAGAGGCAGCCAGGTTCATAATGGATATGAGGAAGTGTTTTTTTTCACATTCAGGTAAAAGTGTAAAATCAAATAATCCACCAATAAAGGATAATGTTGGATCAGTGTTTCAATATTTATATCCTTTATTAGATGTTCATGTGGTTTGGTTATTTGCCTTTTGGTTGAAAGTACACTGAGAGGACTTTTTCATTAGTGATGTTAATAGACTTTTTTAATCTAATTGAATACAATCTATTTGTGTATGATTGTCAGTCCAAAGAGGGAGAGAGGAAAGAGTTGAACATGAGGAGAAAGTACAAGGTCAGGAAGAGCCGGAAATCCCATCACTAGTGCTTTTGGTGCGAGCCTTCCTCTGCTCTTCCTCGTGTTGTGCCTCAGTGTGTGATGAGAGCAGTTCTTTTCCACTTGGTGGTACTGCCTGACTACCAATCAGTGTAACTTTTGCGACAAGTGGGCAAGAGAGTGATGTTGGAGACTTGCCTACGCAGGTGCTATAGTACATGCCGTGCGCTAAGAGACAGAGCTGCAGGGAAGCTTTGCTGGTCCAGCAGCGGCCCTCCCCTCCGCTGTAGTGATGGGATTTCCAGCTCTTTTTAGAGATCCGGCTCTTCAGGTTGTTTTGTTGCTTTAATTAATTTATTATTAACAATAATATAAAATTATGCACAAAAGGAATTACTGAATTATGAGTAGTAGAGAAGGAAAAGAAAGCAACGGTTACATTTTATAATTTCCAAAAGGTATTTTTCATTCGAGGATTCTCCAGAACAGCAGATTATTAAATGCCACACTGACCTGTTCTACTTTTTCCTCACAGTGAACCTCCACCTGGGCACGGCAGCGAGGTCGGAGGTCAATCTCAGCAAGTGGTTCAAGCTTGCCATACTTGTTTACAAGGGAATGGTATCTGAGGAGGAGAGCAGGGTGTGTCGTCTGTTTTAACAGCACTTACTGTAGCACACATAAACCAACACTCATACCACTGCTCATACAGTGTAAACAAGGGTGTGGGTGTACCTATAAGGCAGCTCCTCTTCAGGGTAGTCCAAGTAGTAACGGATGAAGAACCTCTCTGCGTCCTCTCTCTCACTGTCACTCACAGCACTGCCATTTAGCAGTGATACTGAGGGAAGCCTGAAGAGGAGAGATGACATATTGTGCAGGTATCTGTTTATTGACCTTCTGCAGGTCAGAGTACAGCTCAGATCTGTGGATTATTCAAGCTCTCATCAATGTCCTCTACTTG